ATGGTGCAGACACCGGGAGAGAGGAATATTAGAGGATCAGGGACGGTGAGAGGAGCAGGGGTGTCAGGGATGGGGAAGACCAGTCAGTCAATCACAGTCACTTGCAGCTTATTGTCAGGAGGAACGATCAGCCCATGCACCACATGTGCTAGTCAAGTCACTCAATGCACTTACGGGATGTACTCAGACACGGTGACGAGAAAAGGTAAATACGAGCTGGACACGGAGGAAACTTAGTGCAACAGGAATCTCAGTTTCCTTTAAGGCTGTTCCAGTCCTTAGGGCAGCCCAGGCTCTAGAGCGACAAAATACCTCCTCTTCCTGATCCCCATTCCCACCCCACATCGCTTGCGCAAACATCGGAACAAAATCCAGTCACAAACATCTGAGACAAGCACGCACATCAGTACAACATGTTGACTGCGTCTCATTTGCTACACAGGTTTCTAAGAGGGTAACTACGCTGTAGACTGAATACCAGTGCACAGCAGCTTCTAAAAACAAAAACACAAAACAGCTCAAAAGAGTTGATATTCTTCACGAAGGAGAACGTGCAACAGCGACACTGTTTCCATTGTTAGATTGTCCTGTATGTCAATAGCCTGGATGCTGCTTTCATAGAATTATTGCACTACAAAAACGAACAAGGTATGTGCTATTATTTTAGATATCCCTTGCAATTTAGTCCACAGTGTAGTTCACAACAGCATTTCATTCTCCTGCACTTAAAAATCCATTTTGTTGCATAAATATGTATTTGAAAACTAAACAGGCAGTTTGCAACACTCAGATATCAAAAACTTCAGTTCCAACCACCTGCATGAACACAGGTACATTGTGCAAACCCACAAAATCATAAACACATGCACGAGTGACTAATAAAACACAGCTTAAGCCGTCCAAGCGGCCACAGCTCTGCCCAGCTAAATGTGCAATCACGTGAACAGATCCAAGCACCTGCATTACACACTGCTGCAGCCAGATCAGTCCAGTGACATCCATGTAAAATCCCCATGTCTGACTCTTGGTTTGGCGTCATGAGAAGGCCACGTGGGAAGGCCCGCGCGAACGCTGGTGCAGTCCTTCGCACCCAGTCCAGGCCTATGCTTTGGCACTCTGCCTCTTTCTTAAGTTCAAGGCCAAATTTTGCTCTTGGTAGCATTGAGCAAATCTCCCAAAAACTGGTAGATGGTTCTGAAGGCAACTCATATGTCTGCAAATGACTCAGAAGGGTCTGAGTTTGCATTGCCCTTCTGACGGGTTTCCAAGGCTGCAGTAGCTGAGCCAGGCTAGCGACTCTGTGCTCCTGGCATGGGAACACCTTCCTCTGGCCACCCCGTTGGCTCTGCACCTCAATTCGTAAGCAGATTCAACTCAGTAATCTGGCAGAAAATTATCTGAATTCCTCCTTTTTCTGCTGCATTTTCTGCCAGGCTAGTGAGTTGAAACGACTCACTGAAAAGGTCTAACACCAGATCAAAGAAAGGTGAGTGACAGGAAAACAGGAAGGAGAAAAAGAAAGGAGAAAAGCAGGCCCTTTGGAGCCAGCTACCCCCATCTTACGGAAATCACAGCCTGTAGTGTGAGGGAAAAGATTGGGTTTTACACTGGAGCACAACGTAGTCAGGAGCACAGCCAGGTGCCGGCAGTGCCTCCCTGTAAGCCACCCCACCCGACCACCGGCTTACAGGCTGTGCTGGGCAGCAGCAGTACAATGGTTTGCCAGTTGCCCTTTTAATCTCACGGTAAAAGGTACTCGGTATCAAAAGCTGTGGTAAGAAACCCCAGTCCTGTGCTTAGGTAGAGACGAAGGCTTCTAAGAGTTGGCAGCACTAGCCCCTGGCCACACTGTCATGTCTTAGCACCATGGGAGCTGCACACCATCGCGGTGAGCTTGCAACTTGCTGGTGGGGCAGGTCTGACACCCTCAGTCAGAGTGTTGGGAGACATCTACAAGCAACTGAGATACCACCTGTCAGCTGAGCCACAGCGACTGGGACATCAACTCTCCCGCCAGCATGAGACAAAACCATGAGAGAGCTTTAAATCAAGTCTCCCTCCCAGTGGGTTAACAACCCTCCCAGGGCCTTGATACAAACAGTAATTCATTCAGCCATGGACACTCAGTTCCTTGGAACTGTCCACAAATGAAGACTGGGTAATATGTTGTGCGAAATGCCTTTCAAAGCTAATAAATGTATTTTTGGAGTATGATACTACTTGGGTATCATATTCTGGCCACGTGTTTAACTATTTCAACAAGTTTATTTGGGGCTGCCCCATCAGAATTTGCCAGGCAATCTGCCATCAGCACCAACTGGACGCTGGAGTTGCTAGAGACGTCGTAAAGCAGAACAAAACCACCCCCGTAACACCGAGGCTGTCACGGTAAGCACACATAGCCCATAGCTTATCCCCCAACCAGACAAGCAAAAGTTGCCGATGTGCCTGGCTAAGCCGAGGGTTATTAGAGACGTTGCCTCACCCAGCGCACAGGCTGGACAAACCATCCTAATACTGTGGTAAATGACAACTCAGACAGTACGTGGAGTCAAGCAGTCATGAGAAATTCTTTTTATGACCTCCTAGCTCAAAACCCAAGAGTGCCTGTCTTCTTTCTTCTGGGTCACTCGGAGCATTTTTGGCTCCTGCTGATGAAACCAAGGTCTGTGCTGGGGCTGAATTACAGCACTGATGTGAAGCAGCACTTCAAAGACCTGCTTCCAGTACGGCACATCCGAAGCCAGTGATCTGCCTCCTCGGTGACAATAAGAATGCAATTTGGTTACAAGGTCTGGTTTCCTGCCCTGTAGGTCTTTGAGAAGAGACACAAGACAGCCACACCATGGAGTGGCTTCTTTCCCCTACAAGCTCAAGGCAGCTCTTTCCAGCAAAGAGGGGCATTGGGCAAGGGAGGAGAGGTGGGGAGCAGAGATCTGCTGCTGCGCAAAGGCCAGCCGATACCCAGTCTCGTGTTGCAGCATAGGAAAGGCAAGGTGGGGAAGCAGGTCAGATCCTGCAATAGCTGCCACTGGGAAGGCTGAGGCGAGTGCTAATGGAGAAGAAACAGGGATCAAAGCCTTTCCTAGAGGTCGACTCCATGGCTGAGCTCTCATCTGGCACCCCTAGGGAGCTCCCTGGCATGGGGCCCTCTGCACCCTAGCAAATACTAAGAGCAGTTGCATGAGTCCTCAGTGGGAAACAGCAAAGAAATCCCACAGAGAGCAGCACTGGCCTTGCAAAACTATTTTTAACTGTATTACAATAAAAGAACTGCCGTGAAAAGGTGAGGCTGTGCTAACAGCAGTCAGATGGCTGGCCTCATATGGAAGCTGGGAAGATGTTTTGCTGGCTGCACCCAAGACCTTTTGTGCTTCCCTCTCCTTCACCTAGTCGGAGGTGAAGTCAGATTTGCCATGGCACTAAAAGTCATGGACACAGCCTGCACTCGCTTCAGTACCGTCATGGTTTGGCCTCAAGCCCCAAAGCCAAGTTCCAAAAGCACAGCTCTGCGGTATGAATGACTGCTTGTGCCCATCGATCCACTGCCTACCCTACAGCCCTGATGGACTGAAGCCAGTAACTCAGACGTTGCAGATCTGGTGATTACACGGCCACGGCATGCAAGACCCTGGAAGAGCCGGCACACAGGAAACCCAGATCTAGTGCCAGCCTTGCTGGGTGTGGAGCACGAAAAGATCAGAGCCAGGCTGTGTCACCTGCAGGAAGCTTCGTGGGAGGACAGATGTTTATTATAGTGGAAATCTCTGCTCTTAGACCTTCCAGTGGCACATCTGCTACCTACTCTATCCCCAAAACAGACCTTCAATACACCTTGAGGTGCAGGCATTCTGCCACCTCCTTCACACACAGGAACATTTCACCCTAGCAACACAGAAAACAGGTTTTAAATGGCGCCAGGTGGATTATTTTTATTTCTGTCTGCTACCTTTGTTTCACCCTCTGTTTGGAATTAGTGATGATTAAAGTCACTGCACAGTTGCAGATCTAAAGAATATGAAGGATATGCAGGAATGTGAAGGAATAAAGACAAACAAGCATAAAGAAACACAACCAAACCAAACCAAAAAAGCCTCTCAGTAACAGTTTGATCCCATGGGAAGTCAGATGAGGTTGACTTTCATTGACTTTGGTGGGCATTAGATCACCCCAGCCAACTTGTCTAAAGCCTCATCATAGCCTTAGCATATCCTAATGGAACATAAACTAAGCTGAATTACTTGAGAAGTATTGTACATAATTTTATAGGTCGAGAATTAGAATTGTTCACTGAAATACCAAATTTGTTAGTGTTTTCCCCATACTTAGAAAAGAAGAACATTTACATTGCAAAGTCAAATGTTGGAGCAGTAGCACTCATTATTTCAAGGCTTTAAGGACCAAATTCTGCCTTTGGATTCACATGCACGTTTTTCATTGTTTGCAATGGAAACAGATTGTGTGTAGCTGACTTAAATTTGTTTGCTAGCACTTGAAATTATCCAGTTTTTTCATTTTCTGTAGTAAATATGAAATTATAGTTACACTCTCCATGCTATTTCTTTTGTGGATTTCAAATAATGGCATAAGACATATTTGATGCAGTTTTTCTGTACAGTTTAGGATGAGATTGTGGATTTTTCTGAACTGTTGCATTCCCCAGAATACTGAAAGAGTAGCTCTAAGTCAGTAGATTTTACATTAAGTATACACAGCGACAAAATACTAACAACCCGTGATTAAACACTTAAAATTATGCGTATGACAGTGTTTTTGCCATTATACTTTTGCATATTGTTGAAAACAATACTTTTTAGTCTAAAGACCAGCAACATTTTGATCACAGGAAATCATTAAGAAAAACAAAAGTTAAAAATGGGCTTTAGTTGACTTCAGGACTTTTTTTCCCATCTGGCATAAATGAGCCTCAGGAAACAAAATAAAAAACAGACAAAAATTGTTGTAAATGGTTTCATGAACTTACATTGATGTCTCTTATATCTTGGTCTTGCTGATCAAGTATAAGCCAGCAGGTAAGAAGCAGCAGCCAGTGATAAGTTTGTCTCCACTCTGGGAGGTCATCTTAAAATAAGAAGTTGAAAAATGCTTTAAAATAGAATTGCTACGTAAGCTTCCCTGGGGATTTATACTCACTGATGTGTGCATGTTAAAAACGGTATTTCCAGTCTATCTTGTGTTGCCTGAGAACCATTTTTGTCCTTTTAAAATCTGCATTTATATTATAACCCATAAGTACCTTTCCTTTTTGTATTAACACTATAAATACTATGTTAGTAATACTAAACTATTTCTATTGACTTGTTTCTAAAAAGAAAAATATATTATATATTTATATATTTTTATAAAGTGAGTTAACACTGGAGAGAGGGCTATGGGGGAATAGTGTACAATCACAGTTGATGTGTATCGTTGGGCACAAATTCAAAGCTTGAAACAAAAAGGAAAAGAAAAAGGTGTTCAGGTGGTATCCTTCTTTCAAGCAGTGTCAGAGGAAGAGTCATAGGATGCTGACACTATGAAGTTGCCAGTATTGGAGATGGACTGGGCAGCCTGTTGGCTCAAGTTATTGCAGATCAGCACCAGCTGGTTGCTCTGTGCTTCTGAGAGGGTGCTACAGCTCTGGTAGACGCTGAAGTTGGTCTTCCTGCCGGGGATGTTGCCTTTCTCGCACATCGTCTTTACCATCTTGGCAAGCTTATTTTTCCCCAGGGCCTGGCAATTGTACCAGTGAAGTGCGGCCAAGTTGACGACTGGTTTGATGGACAGGTAAAAAGGCGCGTCCTCGTAGCGCATGGCTGGAGGCCGCCGCTGGGCGTACTCCTTGTAGTCTTGCACGGGGCAGGTCTGTGGGGAATGCTGCGTGGCATACACCCGGGAGTCTGTCCCGCCCCTCTTGCTCTTGGCATTGACGTCTCCGTTGTCTGGCCCCATCCACTCCAGGTACTCCAATCCGGTCTCTGTCACCCGCAGCCGGATATCTCCCCACTTGAGGGTGGACCCATGGAAACCTGTGGAGTGTCCAAACGCCTTGGCGTTGTTTAACCAGACAAGTTCGGGATTGTACCGGCTCAACAAGCCTCTTTTGCGCAGGATAAGCTCGTCAGCAAAAGTGAGCTTCATGGATTTGTGGGGCTTGTTTCCTTTTCCTTTACACCTCAGCTCTATCTGCTTTTGCTTTAGAGCTTCCTGGGACCTCTTGAACTCCTTATCCCTCGTAATACTGTATCCATACCTGTGCTCTTTGAGATACCGCTCCAGCCCACACTGATAGTTGGCCAGACTGTTTGGCTCATATTCAGACCCATCTTTTTGTCTGGCATCCACAAAGAAGGAAGCAAGGTAGGCATCAAGCTCTTTGCAGGGGATGACGTAGATCTCCCGGGTCTCAGAGGGGTACTTGGAGATGAGGAACTCTCGGAAATTGCGGAGAGCTGTCTGCGTGCTGCGAATTGTCTTCTCATTCTGCTCCCTGCTGAGCTCCGCCGCTCTCTCATCCTGGTCTGGAAGAAGAAGAGGAAAGACAAAAGAAAGAAGAAGCAGTGAGTTTGTGCAACGTGCTTTTCCCCCAGACAAATTTCCTTAAAAAGGAAAAAAAAAAGAGGAAAAAAATTAAAATCAATTTCACAAAGAGCACTGGAAAACTTCATTACATACCTGTCACATGACTGAAAAGCCAACTTCAGTTTCACAAATGATGTGCTAGAGTATGGCACAAAACAAAGTGAGCTCCTCATGACACTGGGGCACAGTTTTGTGCATGGAGATTTGTGGAAAACAGTTGTATTAGAAGCAATCTGCTTTTTAGAAGAAATTCAAGGCAGAAGGTTTTTCTGTGGATCCCAATGCTGTGTGCAGGGCCCAATCCGAGTAAGAAGCCCATTCTGAATTGCTTCATTTGTGAAACCAGAGGTTGTACTGGTTCCAGTTTTTTTCTATAAAAAATAACTAAAGCATCATATTTACCACAGTAAAAACTATCTTTAATCAGACACATTTTTAAAGAGCTAAATAAACATAGACAGAAATGTACAGTACAAAACAATGCAGCACATCCTAACAAAGGAGTTGGCAGGTAAAACTACTACAGAGCAATGTGTAATTTATAAACGTACGAGAATAAAAAAAAAGTTAATACGTTCACATGAGAAGATACGGAAGAAAAACATAATTATACAGTCTCTCTACATAATCAAGCTGTACCTTGACAGTGGAAGTACAATTGTGACCATTTCTTTTCATTTTGCAGAAAAATCGAATTCTGGAAACAACTTTATATTGCTCTATAGGGCCATACTCTAAGGTCCTTACAATCAGTGACATATCAAACCACAACATTCACAATATTGTTATTGACATCTGATTTTTGGGCTGATTGTAAGCATGAAAAAGAAAAGCTCTTTACATTTAAGTGATGCGTGTACTTCAGGACTGTTTTCTTGGCATATGCAAACTACCTGTCTGTACAAGGATGTAGCTTACAAGCACAAGGGTGGAACTGTCATTATAAATGTGACAAACCTTAATGGTTTTAGAAAATGAACAGTAAATGCAAAGAAGGAAAAATTCAATGACTTAATTATTCTCTGTAACTGTGAATGGAACATTCTTTTTTCTCTATTCCACTTAAGAAGCAGAAGGGAAAAAAGCAAGCTCTTTTTGGTTTGTCTCACTGCAAAACCCATACATTTTGGTGTCCTTTCAGCAGTGTCATAGTAACACTTGCCAAGAGTTCCCCACCCAACGTACACACCACAAAGCGGTACAAGACCAGGTGGAAGCTTCCACTGCCTCTCTGTCATTCAAGCCAAGCTCATTGTCAGGCCATGTAGCATATGCATGCTTTGCAGCAGTGCTCAGACACTTGCTCCTCATGCCCACTCTGCCCTGCAAGCCTGTTAACAGGGGAGGCAGCAGGGAAAGCAAGGTGGCCATATCTCCTTCCCTAGCCTACCTACAATGCTTCATGCAGTGCAGAAACGTCGGTGCACCGCTGGGCAGCTTCCCTTTCCACCCATCTAGAGAGTGACTCTGAAGAGAGTCCATCCCGTTACCTCCACACCACAGCAGCAGACAGGCACTGGGAGTGACTTGCCCCAGGACTTATTGGCAGGCCAGAAACAGGGCTGAGTTTATACTCCCCGGGACTAGGTCCTGTGTCTTCACTGCCAGGCATCTCCCACATCCACAGCACCCAGTGAAACCTATTGAGAGGGGTCCTCAAACCCTCTGCAAAGCACAGAAAAGCAGGAGTCTGCAGCCAAGACCTGTGGAGGCTTCTGCAGCCATGAGAAACGCTGCCACAGAGCTCTGAGGTTTGCTTCACTGTGCTCAAGGGGAAAAAGAAAAGGTCACCAGCCTGCTTCAGAAACTGCTTTTAATATTTATGTCCATATCAAAGTGCTCCTAGCAGCCTGCAGTGAAGTTTCACGCTTTAGGCAATGTATTGGATAGATCTTTTATTATGGCTAGATGCAGGCTGGAAAGAGAAAGACAATGCTGTTTGAAGCCCTGAAACAAACATTTACTCTGGTACCTTGTTCACTTCACCCACCACCACTTACTACAGCACTGTGTGAGCAATCAGTGCTTTGACTGACAGCCCACATTTTAAGTACTTTTTCAATATAAACAGAACTTATAATGGCTCAGTTTTATACGTATCATCAATCACTACTTCTTAGAGGACAGCCTGTCACAACACAGCAGTGACACCCAGTCAGTCATTTATGTTATGGCATCTTTCCTTAATCTGCAAAGGAAATTGCCGTATCTGCAGCTAACAGTTATAAAACCCATGCTGAATTAAAGATCCCCTGAAGTTGCATGAACGAAACAGTACCCCAGAAACACCACATTCCTGCAGTGCTCTGGTGTGTTAATCCACAACGCAGATGGGAAATGTTAAAGGGTCAGCTCTCATCCAGCCACATCAGGAGAACTACATCCATTTTGACTGCGAATCCAGCCTGCAGTGGTAGTGGATTATGCTCTTCCTACAAGACTGCTTAAATACCAGGGATATCTCATAGCATGGGACGAATGCAGGGACGCAGTGAGACCCAACAGGCAGAGTCTGAGATAGACAAAGTCATCAGATGTCTGCTGAGCCAAAGTCATCATCTGCATATGCTCTTCATCCACAGCAAAAGCAGACAATGCAGCTGAGCATAACTTAACTAAGACAGCTCTTTATAGCCTAGGATAGCCTGGGAAGGAGACATAATTCTTCATGTCCTGAAAGTCTTAGTTCTTCATTTAACCAATGAGATTTAATAGTGCTGAAAGAAACCACATAATCCATCTCCAGCTACCATGGAGACATAAACTGTATCCAGGCACACGTTTAATATCACCAAATTTGTGTTTTCTGCTAATTTTGTAATCTTATTCTCTGTTATTGTGGTAGTTGAGTCTGGTCAGCACCACAGCCACTGGCTCACTCCCCACCCCAGAAGGACAGGGAAGAGAACATGAAGAGCAAAAGCAAGTCAAGACAAAGACAGTTTAGTAACTGATGGAAAGAGAAAAAAGAAACCTAACCAACAAGTGATGCAAAGGCAATCAATCACCACCTCCCATAAGTAGACAAATGCCTAGACAGCCTCTGAGCAGTGTCCACCTCTCCCCAAAAAAACCTCCCTTCAGTTTTTACTGCTGAACATGATGTCATAGGGCAGGGAATATGCCCTTGGTTAGTCTGGGTTGGCTGTCCTTGTTGTGTTCTCTCCCATCTCTTGCCCACCCTATGCCTAGCTGCTGGGGGACAGAGTGGGAAAAAGAGAAAGCTTTGACGCTGTGCAAGTCCAGCTCATCAACCGCTAGAACACTGGTGTGTCATTAACACTGTTTTAGTCACAAAACTGAACTACAGCAGGGTACAGGTGGTTATGAAGATAATTAACTTCATCCCAGAGAGACCTGGTACAATTATGCCATTTGGATCCCTAATGAAACAGTGCCACGGACCAGGTGCACCTTACATCCTTTCTGTACAACCTTTGACAGGACAAGGAGACCAGAAAAATTATTCTCTGGGTGCAATCTGCAAACGGCCCTTGTAAAATACTTAGAACAAACTCATCTACCCTACACATCTCTACTTTGCCTACAGGAAATAAGCAGAAACACAATCATAGACCTTACTACAGTCGGCATATTTGATATTGATTGCTTCTGCTCTAGCCATATGGCCTTGCGATCTTGTCAGAGAAGATTACACTGGTGTAATGTCATGTTGTTCCTTACAAATTCACCCAGACTGACAGATAGAGAAAGGCTACATAGAAGTCATTCAATCATTAAGAACTCAAGACTAGAAGGCATCTCAAGCATCATCACAGTGAATTTTTGAAAACCTGTATGTTATGGTAAGGATCTGACAAGCTGAGAGAACTGTTGAGGTACAAGACTTCATCTCTGGATCTGGGTATTGAAAACGAATGTTCTTGTCCTGAGAAACAAGTGTTTCCAATGTAAGTTTGCAGATGTTTGCTTGGTCTCATTGTGCTGCATCTTGCTGAGTAGAGATCAAAAGCTCTTTTGGCTAGGGCTTACTTTTTAAATTTATTTGAATTTTCTGTGGTCCTAATGAAAACTACTGAAAACACAAGTGTGGATCTACATTAGTTCCTTGATCACTGTGAGCACAAACCTGTTTGCTCTTGGACCTCCACTGTCCACAGTATCATCAACTCTTCCGTATGCATGTGTTTCAAAACTGGGTAAAAGCACAGAAAAAAAAAAAATCACAAAGTGCTCTTCCATACAAGAGAGCCCCTCTGTATCAGGACGTCCCTGAGCTGCAAATTGTTGGATGATAGGAGACTGGGAAGCTGTCATATATGCTTGCACCTTTCTTACAGTCTTCTGTAGGGGGTCTGTTGTTAGGATCCAGGAAGAGAGATACTCTCATGTTATGGTCTAATTTGTCTCGGCTAGTAAAACGATCTGAACCAACCAACCAAAGACTACTGTCACTAATGATCTACCAAGCCAAGCTGTCCTTAATGCCTTTTCCTTGTCATAACACAACCTTTGGAGTTGGCAGTGCTGCTACTCCTGTTTCACAGACTAGGAGCAGAAACATAAAAAATAAATCGACTTGGAGATGCATCTCCTGAGGTCCTGTGCCCCCCAGCTGCAACACTGCACAAAGGACCCGGTTGGAGCTCTTGTGTTTACTGTCTGATCCCACACTGGATTTTAATTTCCAAGAAAACCAGAATGTGGCAGAAAAAAGCCAGTAAAACCCACCCTACTGTGGGATCCGGGGTAAACTCCCAACTAAGACTTTGAAAAAGTGCTGAGTAGTTAAGATGCCCTAGTTTAAATGTGACCAAAGAGATAAAGTGACCTGGCAGAGATTAAAGAGAAAACCTAGAGGGAGCCGAGTGTTCCAGGCTAGCCCACAACCATGAGACGATCCCTCCCACAAAGCAACAGCTGCCTTCTCATCTTTTCACAATCTGATCTTAACACAGCCAAGAATTAACATTATCAACGAAATTATCAAAGTCAGAGTTGGTTTTATTTCAGCTCGCACACACACATACACTCAGACTCCCTGAAAAGGACATAA